AGTGGGTGAGTGTCCCCATGGCCGGGTGGACGTGTCCCTGCAGTGGGTGTGTGAGTGTCCCCATGGCCAGGTGGACATATCCCTGCAGTGGGGGTGTGAGTGTCCCCATGGCCAGGTGGACGTGTCCCTGCAGTGGGTGTGTGAGTGTCCCCATGGCCAGGTGGACGTGTGCCTGCAGTGGGTGTGTGAGTGTCCCCATGGCCAGGTGGACATATCCCTGCAGTGGGTGTGTGAGTGTCCCCATGGCCAGGTGGACATATCCCTGCAGTGGGTGAGTGTCCCCATGGCCGGGTGGACGTGTCCGTGCAGTGGGGGTGTGAGTATCCCCCATGGCTGGGCTGAGGTGGCCTCCACGGTGGATCAAGTGTGTGGCCCCCCCACGGTGACTTTCCCTGTCCTGGTTGAGGGCAGCTGGCCTCGGCGCCATGGGCCCCAGAGAGGCCCTTGCTGTTGGTCCCGTGTCCGGGTGGAGGAGGTGTCGGTGGCTCCCAGCTTCTAACCGAGTGCATCTGTCGACTCATCAGGTCCAGACGCTGAAGCAGGAACCTCTGCCCCCGGCCACGAGCCAAAGCATTCCGACCTTCTACTTCCCCAGAGGACGCCCGCAGGACTCCGTCAACGTGGACGCCGTCATCAGCAAGATCGAGGGCACCTTCGCCCAGTTCCCCCAGGAGAGGGCCAGCATGGACGACATGGGCCTGGTGGCTAAGGTGCGTGTCACACACGCGGAATGCGGAAAGGTCGTCGGGGTGCCGCGGGCGTGAGGGTGAGATGGAGCGGCCGACGTGGTGCCGTGGGCGTGAGGGTGACGTGGAGCGGGCGACGTGGTGCTGTGGGCATGTGAGGCTGGGGCTGAAAGACGAAGTGGGTGCCATGTTGGTGCGAGGGTGCTGTGGAGAGGCCGAAGTGATACTGCGGGCATGTGAGGGTGCGGTGGAGAGACCAAGGTGGGTGCCGTGGGCATGTCAGGATGGGGTGGAGAGACCAAGGTGGGTCTCACTGTCCCCTGGCTGTGGACATCATAGCCTGGTGACCATGCTGAGGTGTTTCACTGTCCCTGGCTGTGGACGTCATGGCCCGGTGACCGTGCACTGGGGCCTCGCTGTCCCCGGCTGTGGACGTCGTGGCCCGGTGACCGTGCACTGGGGCCTCGCTGTCCCCGGCTGTGGACGTCGTGGCCCGGTGACCGTGCACTGGGGCCTCGCTGTCCCCGCCTGTGGACGTCGTGGCCCGGTGACCGTGCACTGGGGTCTCGCTGTCCCTGGCTGTGGACGTCGTGGCCTGGTGACTGTGCTGTTGTGTCCACAGTGGTCCTCATGTGTACTTCCCTCGTGTCTCATGATGTTGACTGTGTTTTCATGTACTTCTTGGCTGCACGTACCTCTCTAGACACAGATGTGTGTTCAGCTGCTTACCCTGTTTTAAATTGGATTGTCTCCCATTTTCTCATTCTGTTTTTGGGTTCCCTTTTCACACAGGGTCTCCGTCTGTCACCCAGGCTGGAGTGCAATGGTACGATCTCAGCTCACTGCAGCCTCCACCCCCAGGGCTCAGGTGATTCCCCCAGCGCGGCCCTCCCAGTAGCCGTGACTGCAGGCATGCACCCCCATGCCTGGCTAACTTTTTGTATTTTTTGTGCAGACGGGGTCTCACTGTGTTCCCCGAGCTGGTCTCAAGGTCAAGCTCTTCCCCCCTTGGCCTCCCAAAGTGCTGGAATTACGGGCGTGAGCCACGACACCCGGCCACATTGTGGATGTATTCTGAGTACAAATCCCTTCTCGGATAACCTGTGCAGGTGTTCTCCGTATTTTTCCAAGCTCCTCTTTTTGTTTCCTAAGAGGAGTCTAGTTTCAGCTCTCCCATTTGTCTGCGATGCGTTTTGAGTTAATTTTTGTGACACCGGGGCCCACCTCAAGGTTCCACACGCGGACATCCAGGGGTCTCAGCGGCGTTTGCCGAAGAGACTCTCCTTCCCCCATGGAGAGGTCTGCACGCAGGCCAGGCGTCCGTCGGACACAGTCGAGGGTTTGGGGTGCAGTTGGACCCCGTTTCACCCATCCACGTCCTGGCCCTGCCCGCACCGCACTGCCTTCACTGCGGTTGCTTGTGTGAAGTTTTGAAGCAGGGAAAGTGAGTCTTCCCATTTTCTTCTTCTCCTCAGGACTGCTTCGGCTTTTGGGGATCACGTGCAATTACATACAAAGTTTAGGGTCGCTTGTTCGTTTCCACAAGGACTTGCGTCCCCGTATTCTTAGAGGCTGGACAATTCGTAGACCAGTTTCAGGAACTGCTGCCAAGCTAGGACTATTGAGGCTCCGACTCGCACGCCTGGGGTCTCTTTCCATTTATTCACACCTTCTTTAACTTCCTTCAGAAGTGTCTGACAGTTTCCAAAGTGTAATGCCTTACACTGCTATTAAATTGTCACCAAAGTGCTTTCTTACTTTTCATGCTGTTGTAAATGGAATTGTTCTCCAAATTTTATTTCAGGATTGCCACCGGAACTATGTAGAAATACAATTCATTTTTCTGTATCGATCCTTTATCTTGCAATTCTTCTGAAAATTAGCTCCAATAGTTTTTTCGGTTTTTTCTTGAGCTGGATTTTCGCTCTGTCGCCCAGGCTGGAGTGCAGTGGCGGGATCTCAGCTCACTGCAACCTCCGCCTCCTGGGTTCAAGCGGTTCTCCTGCCTCAGCCTCCCGAGTAGCTGGGACTACAGGCACGCGCCACCAGGCCTGGCTAAATTTTTTTGTATTTTTGGTAGAGACGGGGTTTTTCCATGTCGGTCGGACTGGTCTCGAACTCCAGACCTCAGGTGATCTGCCCACCTCGACCTCCCAAAGTGCTGGGATGGCAGGCCTGAGCCCCTGCGCCCGGACTAGTTCTAGTGGTTTCTTAGTGGGCACGAGACCCTGTCACCTATAAGTAGATACAGTTTTAGTTCCTTCCCGGTGTGCTCGTCTTTAATTTCTCTTCCTGCCTGGCCACTGTGGTTAGAACCTGCAGTGCGGTGTTGAATAGAAGTGGAACAGTGGGCAGCCTCGTCCTGTTCTGCCCTTGGGGGAGACCACCCGCCTTTCACCTTTGACCAGCAGCGGATTTCGGTTGAAACCATCGATCCGCTTGCAAAAACTTGTGAAACGTATCCTGGTTTGTTAGCGGTTCTCATCAAGATTGAATGTTGAATTTTGTCAAATGGTTTTTCTAAATCGGTGAGATGACCGGTTTTTGTTTTTTGGGTTTGTTTGTTTGTTGTGGGACCGAGTCTCACTCTGTCACCCAGGCCGGAGTGCAGTGGCACGATCTCGGCTCACTGCAACCTTTACCTGCCAGGTGCAAGCGATTCCCCTGCCTCAGCCTGCCAAGTGGCTGGGACTACAGGCGTGCACCACCATGCCCGGATAAATTTTTTTTGTATTTTTAGTAGAGACGGGGTTTCTCCATGTTGGCCAGGCTGATCTCAAACTCCCGACCGCAGGTGATCCGCCCCCCTCAGCTTCCCAAAGTGCTGGGATTACAGGCGTGAGCCACTGCGCCCGGCTGGCTTTTTGTTTTGTTTTGTTTTTTGTTTGAGAGAGAGTCTCGCTCTGTCATGATGTCCAGAGAGCAGTGGTGAGATCTCAGCTCACTGCAGCCTCCGCCTCCTGGGTTCAAGCGATTCTCCTGCCTCAGCCTCCCGAGTAGCTGGGATTACAGGCACCTGCCACCACACGCGGCTAATTTTTGCATTTTTAGTAGAGACGGGCTTTCACCATGTTGGGCAGGATAATCTTGATCTCTTGACCTTGTGATGTGCCCACCTAGGCGTCCCAAAGTGCTGGGATGACACGTGTGATCTACTAAGCTTGGCCGGGTTTTTGTTTTTTTAACCTATGAATATAATGTATTAAATGGGTGGGTTTGGGGTGTTAAACCAGCCTTGCATTCCTGGCATAAATCCCACGTGGTCGCCGTGTCTCATCTCTTTTATATGTCCCTGGATTCCGATACTTTTTGCAGCTGGATTCACAGAGAAGACACTGGTTGGCTGCTTTCTTGTGAGTCCTTCCCCTGGTTTTGCTTTTAGAGAAATGCAGGTCTCAAAGAACACGTTGGGAAGTGCCCCCCTTTTCTACCAGGGATTGCCTCTTTAAAGTACTTTAAAATGTTCTGTTTTATAAATATGTAAAAACCTCCGTGGTTACAAAGTGAACATAACAGACCAGACACGTCAGCTCGGTCCACGTTCTGTGCCTGTGTGTGCCGATTCTCACCATAGGCAACAGTTTCCACGGCTTTGGTTTGCCGTGTGATTTTCCCTAGATTTTAACATGAGCAGGTTCATACAGGTATGTGTGTGAGTGTGTACATGCACACTTCCTGCATTTCTTAGAGAAAAACTAGCAGGTTCCTTCACACTTGGGCATTCTTTCTAAGTCACTCCACATTCCTGGAGGGGTCCCCGTCTTGCACATACTGTGGGCCGTGGAAGGACCGCATGTGCCGCACCCATGCAAAGCCTTCTTACGGGGAAAATGACGATCCTTCTGTCATGATTTTTGTTGACATATCAGAAACTCTAAGGGTTGGATGCAAACATGTAGTGAATGAAAAAAACTAATATTTACCCAATGAGCTGTAATTTAAAATACCAGAAACATGAAGGTTTCTGGTTTATCTTTTAGTAAAAACTTGCCAAAAGTAGTTACTGCCGTGCCTTTTTATTTTTTTTGATACGAAGCCTACTTTGTTTCCAGGCTGCAGTGCGGTGGCGTGATCTCGGCTCACTGCAACGTCCACCTCCCGGGTGCAGGCGATTCTCCTGCCTCAGCCTCCCAAGTAGCTGGGACTGCAGGTGCCCACCAGCACGCACGGCTCATCTTTGCATTTATAGTAGAGACGGGTTTTCACCATGTTGGCCAGGCTGGTCTCGAACTAATGCTCTCGTGATCCACCCGCCTCAGCCTCCCAAAGTGCTGGGATTACGGGCGTGAGACACTGCTCCGGCCCGGGCTGACTCCTTACGTTATGTGGGGTCCTCACCTGCTCCTGCCCTGGGTGTCCCGGTCCTGTGTGGGGTCCTCACCTGCTCCTGCCCTGGGTGTCCCCGTCCTGTGTGGGGTCCTCACCTGCTCCTGCCATGCGTCTGTGTGTCTGTCAGCATGTGTGGATAACCGTGTGTGTGTGTCCGTCAGCGTGTGTGGACGGCGCTGTGTATGTGTGTGTCTGTCAGCGTGTGTGGACGGCGCTGTGTGTGTGTGTGTCCCTCAGTGTGTGTGGACGGCACTATGTATGTGTGTCCGTCAGCGTGTGTGGACGGCACCGCGTGTGTGTGTCCCTCGGCATGTGTGGATGGCAGTGTGTGTGTGTGTGTGTGTGTGTGTGTGTGTGTGTGTGTGTTTCCCTCGGCGTGTGTGGACCGCCCTGTGTGTGTGTGTGTCCGTCAGCGTGTGTGGACGGCCCTGTGTGAGTTCCCGCACCCGGCCCTCATTTTCACCTTTTGAAATTACAAATGTGCGTTGAAGTTTGTCCAGGATTGTAGACGTGTATTTCTGCGTGCACTGAGGTGGCACTGAGATTTCTCTGTGGTCCTGTACAGGTGAATGGACCTGACGGGCGTCGGGTTGTGAAGGCCGCCCTGGAGTTGGGGTGACCCCATCCCTGCGTCTCCACGCCGCGTCACGCCGCTCCTGTGTGGGGCCCACACTGCCAGGCATGCAGGGGTTGTGTGTGTGCTTATGAAGGACTGGTCTTGGCCTGATGGACGTGTGAGTGTTAAGGCAGCCCCGGTGTTCGGGTGACCCCATCCCTGTGTCTCCACGCCGCGTCACGCCGCTCCCGTGTGGGGCCCACACCACCAGGCCTTGCAGGGGTCGCATCTGTGCTCATGACGGACCGGCCTGCAGCCTGCTTTTCCTACGACGGCTTGCTCTGGTTCGGCATCTGGGGGATAGTGGCCTCGGGGAGTCGCTGGGGAAACGTCCCTTAGTATTGGCTTTCTGAAGACTTCTGTTTAGAATGAGTGTCATTTTTATTAGAGTGTTTCGTAGAATTCACCAGTTAAGCCACTGGGGGCACTTTTCTCTGTGGGAAGGTTTTTTTTTAACTGCAGTTGGAATTGTTGACTAGAGACACGCCGTCCAGACCACGTCTCGCTCTGTCACGCAGCGTGCAGTGCAGTGGCTTGGTCTTGGCTCACCACAGCCTCCATTTCCCAGGTTCCAGCGATCCTCCTGCCTCGGCCTCCCGGGTAGCTGGGATTACAGGCGCCCGCCACCACGCCCGGCTAATTTTTGTGTTTTTAGTACAGATGGGATTTTGCCATGTTGGGCCAGGCTAGTCTCGAACTCGTGACCTCAATTGATCCACTTGCCTCGGCCCCCCAGAGTGCTGGGATTACAGGAGTGGGCCACCACGCCCGGCCCGTGCGTACCGTCATGAGTCAGCTTGGTCGTCTCTGTCTGAGTTTTTTATTTTCTTTGTTTTTCTCTCTCAAGTTGCAGCTTTTAGTTTTAGTGATTTTCAGTGACGATGTTCTGCTGCGTTGACTTCCGATCTCTGCCTGTCCTCTGCTCACGCCGGGGTCCGGGGTGTTGTTACAGCAGGTTCTGCCATGGCAGCCGTGGCCACGGGCCCTTCCGCGTTCCCCGTGTGTGCGCCGTGCCCTCCGCACCGCCTCCGCCGTGGCACACTGCGGGCTAGTCCACGTCCACGCACCGTGCTTTGTGTTTGTTCCGTGCCGGCCGGATTCCGGCTTCTGCTGTGCCAGCGCGTCATTCTGTGTTTGCGATCTGGAGGTTGTCCAGACGTCCCTTTGTGGTGTTTTGTGATTTAATTCTGCCGTGGGCCGGAGGCACGCACTCACTTCCGTCCTTCTCCGTTAGCCAGGGTTGACTCTGGGTCTGCAGATGCCTTGGGAAACGGTTGTGTGAGTCTGTTCTCACACCGCCATGAAGAACTACCTGAGGCCGGGCACGCTGGCTCACGCCTGTCATCCCAGCGCTTCGGCAGGCTGAGGCAGGCAGATCATGAGGTCAGGAGTTCAAGACCAGCCTGACCAACGTGGCGAAACCCCATCTCTACTAAACGTCCAAAAGGTAGCCAGGCGTGGTGGCGCGTGCTTGTAATCCCAGCTACTCCGGGGGCCGAGGCAGGAGACTCTCTTGAACCTGGGAGGCGGAGGTTGCGGTGAGGTGAGATCGCGCCGCTGCGCTCCAGCCTGGGTGACCAAAAAAAAAACTTATCAAGAACACAGGTTTGACTCAGTTCCACAGGCGTAAAAGAAGGCGTGGCTCGGGAAGCTGCCAACCACAGAGGAAGGCGGCGGGGAGGCAGGCCGCTTCTGCACAGCCAGCAGGACAGAGGGCGCACAGAGCGGGCACGGCCACCGCTTTTAAACCGTTGGGTCTCACGAGAACTCACTGCCATGACAGCAGCAAGGGGGAGGCCCACCCAGGACCCTGTCACCTCCCAGCAGCCCCTCCCCGGCACTCAGCATCACAGTTCAGCCGGAGATTCGGGTGGGGGGCAGAGCGGGGACCCAGCGCTGGCCCCACATGAAGGCCCCTGCGGGTCTGTGACACCGTGTGCTCACCCTGCTGGGTGGCATTTTCACACGCTGCATTTCTGCACGTTTTCCACTGGTTCCGTGCCCGTGTACATGCTCAGGACTCTGCCCTGCTCGCGAGCGTCCCCGAAGCACTGCAGTGTGGGCTTGGGGACCGGTGGCGTTTCCTGCTTCAGGCGCTCCCCGGAGGTCAGCAGAGCCGGACGGGAATAGGATTCCTCAGCCCTGGAGCAGACGGTCCACACACAGCAGCGTGCCTGAGTCCCAGACGCGTGGCTGAGCGAGGGAAGCCAGGCCTCAAAGTCCACAGAGGGCAGGCTCCCGTTCTGTGGCCTGGGAAAGGGGAACCACAGCCACGGGGAGGAGGCCCAGGGCTGTCTCCGTGTGCGGAGGGGCGGAAGGGGCCGTCACGGCTGCTGGCCTCGTTCCCTGTCCTCGCCGTGTGGGGGTGGGCATGCCGCTGTGTCACCTGGCCCCACAAGGACTGCGTCTTTCTGTGTGTCCATCAGGAAAACGCTTTTAAAAGTCACATCAGCCGGGCGAGGTGACTCACGCCTGTCATCCCAGCACTGTGGGAGGCTGAGGCGGGCGGATCACGAGGTCAGGAGATCAACACCAGCCTGGCCAACATGGTGAAACCCTGTCTCTACTAAAAGCACCAAAATTAGCCGGGCGTGGTGGCGGGCGCCTGTGGTCCCAGCTACTCGGGAGGTTGAGGCAGGAGAATTGCTTGAACCCGGGAGGCAGAGGCTGCGGTGAGCCAAGATCCCACCACTGCGCTCCAGCCTGGGCCACAGAGCAAGACCCCGTCTCAAAAGAGAAAACAAAAGTGAAATCACATTACCTAAGGTTTTATTCCCCCTACGATAGCGATTTGGTAACATTCAGGAAAAGCTGCTTTCCTTTGTATCTTTGCATTTTTAGAGTTGATCATCTCCATTTACTGCAGATTTTTTTTTAAATCGTGAGCTAATGAGTTTGCAGGTAACTCCCCTTGCCTTCCTGTCAGTCCGGCGGCAGCTGATGGACACACTGCCGTCTCCATCACTCCGACTTTGTGGGAAGGGCTGGAAACGGCCGGACTTACACCATCAGCCGGCGTCCCCCTGAATTGTTGTGTCTGCCCTTAGAAGGTTTAACACAAGCTTGTCGGTGCGTAAACACCGCAAAGCAGCGAGGCTCGGCGCCTGTTGACGGGCGTCGCGTTGGTCGGGAGGTCGGCAGTGGCCTGGAGGGAGTGCCCGTCCGCAGACCCGCTGGGAGTCGGCCTCAGCACGCTTCTGCCATCTTGGATCTCACCGAGCCGTGCCCTGTGGTTTGCTTTGTAGACACCGCGTGCCATTTTTCTTGCGTCTTTCCTTCGGTTGATTTTTCTTTTAATGGTCTTGATAGATCATCATTTGTATTATATTTATTTATTTATTTATTTTAGGGACAGGGTCTCTCTCCGTCACCACGGCCCGGCAGGCATTCATTGCTCACAGCTCTGGAGGCTGGAAGGTCACGGGGGGCAGGGTGGGGCGGACCTGCTGCCTGGGTCACAGACGGTGCCGTCTCGCCGAGTCCACACAGGGCGGAGGGGCTGAGGGTGCTCCCGGGGGTCCCTTAGAGAAGGGTGCTCATCCGCTTCACGAGGCCCCACCTCCCGACGCCATCGACCTGGGGAGAGGATCTCAGCGCGTGACTCTTGGGGAGCATGCGTTCAGGACATCGCACCCTTGATTAGAATAAGCGTGTCCCTTCTGTGTGTGGTTTCCTGGTCTGTCCCACGCTTGTGACCTGTAAATTATGCCCCAGTTGGACTTGCCGGCGTGTGTCCGTGCAGGATTTCTGCCTCCGCTGCGGGGTGATCACCGGCCTCTGACTTCGGGGTCCCTGACGGTGTCCAGCCTGTGCCCGCCTCGGACGCCCGCGTGTTATCTCCGGGGGAACTCGTGTGTCCTTCCTTCCTTCAGCGTTTGTAGCACTCACGGGAGCAGCCTGTGGGCTGCGGTTTTCCTCGTGGGAAGGTTCCAAATTGTGGCCTCAGTTTCTGGCAGAAACAGCCCTTTCAGATTTTCTCTCGTTTCTCCTTTGGCTCCAAGTGCTAATCCGGGAGCGTGTTTCACCATCGTCCTAGGAACAGGCAGGAAGGGATCCGTGACCGTCCACGGACTCGCTGGTATTTGCAGGATCTGTGGTTGCAGCTGACGTGGCTCGTTTCTGTTTTCTTTCTTTTTGTTTTAACATGGAGTCTCTGTCGCTCAGGCCGGAGTTCACCGCAGCGTCCGCCTCCGGGGATCAAGTGATTCTCGTGCCTCAGCCTCCCGAGCCGCTGGGATTCCAGCCGTGCAGTGCCACACCCAGCTAGGTGTTGGATTTTTAGTAGAGTCGGGGGCTCTCCATGTCGGCCAGGCTGGTCTCGAACTCCTGGCCTCACGTGATCCGCCTGCCTCGGCCCCCCAAAGTGCTGGGACGACAGGCGTGAGCCCCCGCGCCCGGCCAGGGTTAACGTTCAAGCAATATTTCCTGTCGCCGAGTTTTGATTGTGGTGATTCTCCCCGTAGTTCCCCTTCCGTCTCTGCCGTGTGTGTGACTTTGGGGGAAGTGTGCATGACGGATTTTAAACTTTCCTTCCTCACACGTGTGTGTGCGGCTGAGGACCTGCCACGGTCACTGCTGTGGGCGTGCGCAGACACTCCATGGGACGTGTCTGCCACTGTCACATTCCACGCAGTGTCCGGCCGACGTGGCCATTTGCACCAGTGCTTCGGAGGTGCCGCCGGCTTTCCACATGCTGAGGATGCAGCCGCCCCGGTCACGGTGCCCGAGCACGGCCTCCAGTAGGGGGGACTGTGTGACAGCACCCCCATGCTCAGCTGTCGTCACTGAGCTCAAAGCCTGGAGCAGAGTCCGCGCAGAGCGTGCAGACCGCAGACCCCCGCGGAGTGCTCTTCCCCGCAGCAGAGGTCTGCGGGCCGCGTGGGTCAGGTGGGCGCAGGAGGCAGCTGCCGGTGCCTGCTGACCGCCCCCCTCCCTCTCTGCCTCAGGCCTGCGGCTGCCCCCTCTACTGGAAGGGGCCGCTCTTCTACGGCGCCGGCGGGGAGCGCACGGGCTCCGTGTCTGTGCACAAGTTCGTCGCCATGTGGAGAAAGTGAGTCCCGGGCCGGGCAGGGGCCGCACCAGGAGGGCGGAGGCGGCCCTGGGGGGACACGGCACCGGGACGGGGGCCCCCGTGGCTGCCACGGCGAGAGGGGAGCCCGCCCCTGGGCACGGGCCGGCCGTGGTGTGTGGCCGCCTGCCCTGCCGTGCACCCTGCGTCTGTGCGGGGGGCGCCCAGTCATCCTGTCCTTCCAGAATCCTCCACAACTGCCACGACGATGCCGCCAAGTTCGTCCACCTGCTCATGAGCCCCGGATGCAACTACCTGGTGCAGGAGGACTTCGTGCCATTCTTGCAGGTGAGAGCCGCGTCTACACCGCACAGCGCATCCGCGTCTACACCGCACACATCACCCGAGTCTACAGCGCACACCGCACCCGAGTCTACACTGCGCGATGCACCGAGCCTACACCACACACGTCACCGGAGTCTACAGCGCACCCGAATCTACACCGCACACTGCATCCGAATCTACACCGCACGACGCACCGAGCCTACAGCACACACCTCACCCGCGTCTACACCGCACGCCTCACCGCGTCTACACCGCACGACGCACCGAGCCTACACCGCACACCTCACCCGAGTCTACACTGGACGCCTCACCGCGTCTACACCGCACTCCTCACCCGAGTCTACACCGCACGCCTCACCCGCGTCTACACCGCACTCCTCACCCGAGTCTACACCGCACGCCTCACCCGCGT